TATAAACAGTATAAACCTATTACGTAGCTAGTTTATATTTTTATCAGGTTTTGTCAAGAGTATTGTCGGCATCACTAGTTATTACTTTGGAATAATTTTTGATTAAAAACTTATCATTGTCAAGATGTATAGCCATTGTTTGGATGCGAACCCATTGTTTAGATGGATTTATTGTTTAGATGCAAAGTCATTATTTTTGTATAAATTTTATTGCGGTTTGCAAAATTATGTGAAATTTAAAGATCAATAAAAATAAAAGTAATCATTAATTTCCGATTACTGATTTCCGATTACTGATTTTCGATTTCTTCAACATTTTTTTGACTTTTAGACTAGACAAAATTTACGCATTTATCATTTATGAAAATTTGAATGGATATTTTAATGCGCAACTCCTATTTTTGCAAATACAGTATATTACAAATGATGAATAAGCAATTTTATTTTCTATATAATAATAAAATTTTACAAAATAATAGATACACAAATTTTGTCTATTCTAAAAGTCAAAAAAATAAATGTTGAAGAAATCGGAAATTAATAATTTGCAAACCGCAATAATTAAAAGCGATGCTATATTTTAAATACAGAATTATAATTTTTAAAATAATTTTTGATTAAAAACTGTATCGTTGATTATGTATAAACTCTGATTAAAGGATATGCTATAGTTTGAATGTGTAATTTTTAATCAGTATAAAATAAATCAAAGCCACATATTAAATCCTGTATATGTATAATCGTGGATGTAAAATTTAATAGCGTAGTTAATAATTATAAAGGTAAATTAATGAATAAATAGATATGATGGTTTTTTTTATATCCGTGTTTTGAAACAAAATCTATTAACTATAAGCAAAATTGTAGCATGAAGTGGTGTATACAATACGGAAATTGTTCGTTATTACGTACATTGTTGCACGGAATTCCCGCCTTTTTACGCGTCCAGTGCGTATACTGTCCTATGCTATATTCTGTATGGTTCCGTATACTCTCGTGCTGCACGTTGTGAAGGGGTAGATCATTGCTTGTAATAGGTTTTTCTATATTTGGTGGATCGGACACATATCTGGCTTAGCAAACTTGGCGCGCATTTTGAACATTTTGTACATAGCGCATATGTGGTATATGTCGTATATGTCGCATATGTCGTATATATTGTATATGTTGTATATATCGCATTTGTCGTATATATCGTATATGTCGAATATGTGGTATATGTCGAATATGTCGTATTTAGTGAATATGTAGAATTTATTCTAAGTATACACTCTAGTAATGTAAAAAGGTATAAAAGACCTGCATTTGCGCTTCAATAAAAGATAACTCGGTGGAGTTCAAAGTTCTAAGTCAAAGAAATCAGAGTATTTGACTTGCGACTCACTCGTATATATAAAACTCAAGGGAGTTCGAAGTTCCAAGTTAAAGAAATTAGAGTATTTAACTTGTGTTCCGTGATAAACTCAGTTGGAGTTTAGCATTGAGAAGCGTTTGTTCTACTAATCCCCCCCCGATAAATAAATTCTGCATTGACGGAGACCAAATCCCGTGACTCTGTGTAAAGAAATTCGTGACTTAATCAAGAGTTCTAATCCGACACTATCGCTAAGAACCAATCCACCCTGGTTACTCGGACCAAGTCTTTCCACGCCTCGATCGTTGCCTTACCACTATTAGGGTTTGGTTTTATTAGTTTTAGTGTTCTGATTAGAGTAGTTTAGTTAGTTTTAGTATTGTGTAGTAGTGTGTATTGGTGTCATCTGGAACCCGAGGATTATTTCGCCTTTCTCAACGTACCGTGCTTGACCATAAATCCCGTTCACTATTTTTTATGAAGTTTATAGATATTATCATAAATTCTGGGACAACTAAAAAAACATCACAATGACCAAATTAACTTGTTAATTTATCGATTTGATCAACAACAATTTACCCCAGGATTTATGATAATACAGTAAGTTAATTTCTTGATTTATAGTTTATCATTTGATTGGCTGATCAACATGTGACATTATAATATTTCATCGAACCCAAACATACTTACAACCTTCCGAAACCAGATTGAACAAGTGTTTAAGTCTGGTTCTGGCTCGAGTACTAAGAGTTTGGTTTCAGTTCGGGTTTCAAAATTTACAGTTTGAACTCGAGTTTGATTCTGGGTTGATCAAATTCGAACCGAACCCAAATCAACATAGGATCCCTATCAGTTTTGGAAATCTAATGTTCTCAACGTTCTCGAGAACATTAAAACCATTTTTGAGAACATAATATTTAAAAATTATGTTCTCATTATGAGAACATAATATTTTTTAATTTTTAATATAATTAAAGTATTTTAAGATCATAATATTTTTTTGAATATAGTAAAATTTTATTAAGAACATTAACTCTAAAATTTATGTTCACAAAAAACAAAAAAAAATTTTCAGATTTCCTTCACTGATCCCTATATTTAAGTATTGAGGAAATAACTGACTTTATTAGCGCGAAAAAATGTTCTTTATATACATTTTCTCATCTTATAGGTTATCGTGTTCTGCTCTCTGAATTTCTTATCATACACAACGTGCTTAACAATATTGCGTACAATCTTGCACAGGGATTATGAGTACTTAGACATCATTTATCATGCACAGTCGATCAAATAACCATTTTACACCATATGATTACAGTAAACAACCAAAATAATAAAAAAGAAAAGTGTAATGGTAAGTGTCCATGCCCCGAATAATCTGTCATGTGGAAACTGTGACACTATTAGCACTAAAAATTACAAAAATAAAGAATAAGACCCAACTTAGAATTAAAACTAAACCAAAAATCGTAATGAAAACACAATTTAGTTTTGATAGATGTTTAGACTTTGCATGTGCTTCATGTTCGTTATAGCTCCACTTTTGTTCATCCTTATCATGTTTTGTTAGTATTTCCTCACAATATTCCCGTCTTTTATCTTCTTTCATGTCTAATATTCCATCGTTCCATTTTCTTGCTACTATTAACAACAATACAGAAATGAAAACAGCAATAATACTAATAACCAAAAATACATCCATTACCATATTGTATTCACCACCATCTAAATCTTGCAATTTACCAATGGCAATTTCCAATATAGTTGAGCCAATGTTCGTGCATGATTTTGCAATTCCTAATCCGGTACCAACATAATCTAATGATAATATAATTGGAATTGATGAAAGTAAAGATAATGGACCAAATGAAAGGGATACTGAAAATAGCAGCATTCCTATAATTGGCGATATTTTGAGAGTAAATCCCAGAACAATTATTGAAGCAGTTAGGAAAACTGCCGAACTTATCGCTAATTATTCAATAAAATGTAATTTCAAATTATAAATAACAGAAATAAGATAAGTTAGAAACTGAGTATCAATGCATTGGACAGCGTGTGACTTACCTATGTGTGAACGTCCACCAAATTTGTCCAAAAAATAGCCAAGAAAAGGGGATATGAATATTGGTAAAAATTGTGCAAGGCTTGAATTAAGAGCAGCCTCTTTCTCCGAGCTACCCCACCGGATTTTTACAAGTTCTCTAATTATAAGCAATAAACAGTAATATCATGTTAATCGAATAAAAATAAACGTTATATAGGATAACTTCTGATTGGTTAGTCGCTTACAATTGTATTTATATAGTATACAGTACTTTTTAAGAATGCAACATTTCATAATTGAAAAGTACGAATTAAAATTGTTGTTATCTTCAAAGAAGTGCTAACACTTAATATATTAAAAATATATTATAATCTAAAAAACAGCTGACTTACTAAAAAAATAACAGAGTAGCTTATTTAAAATATATAAAACCGATTTATAAGCCACTTTGATAAAAAGTTACAAGGTAATTAATAGCTTTATAATACATTTTGATTGATACGTATTGCTTTATCGACAATCACTTTACCGAACGTCCCATCACGCAGAGCGAAGAGTATTATTCAAAAAGCCACTGATGATTAATAATCATTATTGCTAATTATCAGCAGGACTTTTAAATATTAATCATCGCTTTGCGTAATGGGTACTCAGTGAAGTGACTGTCAATTAAATAATTTGTATCCCATTATAATTTGTCGTTTGTCATGTGCTGGACAATATGGCTAATCATAAAATGGTATCTAATTTCACTTGTGGTTATCCACTCACGAAAAGTTATCCTATATCCAATAACTGCAGTTATACCTCAAATGTCAACTAGCAAAATTTTATTAAGGCTAGAGCCAAAATCTTATAATGACTTGAGGCACATCTGCTGTCACTTGAAGTAAACATGTCTAAAGTTAAAAATACGTACGCGTGTATAGTTAAAAATGAAGTCAAGACACTACCCAAATCAAATTCAAGCAATGCAATTATCCAAAAAATTGCTGGTAGATATAACAATTTTTTAGGATCAAAGGTTTTTTTTTGTTTAAGTTTTAAAATTTCTTGCTCCGATAGACTTTCATTAATTATCTTCATAACAAATATATAAAGTATATTAATCATTAAAGAAAGTACACATAGAAATGCTGTAAACTAAATATAAAATTATGATTAACATAATATAGTAAAAGACATTCTTATATACGATAAAAAAAGATTTTACCCAAAATGCCCAACCATAAAATCCAGTAGCATCCTTAATTGGAACAACAGTCAAATTTCCCAAGAATGACGACTGAAAATTTATGATTATATTAAACATAAGTTAACTATAAATTTCATAGCATCAATATATATTCTTACCAATCTTGACGTAGCAATTTGTATTCCAACTACTATCGACAATCCTTTCTCTTTAAACCAATGACTAAGAATAGTAGTTTGAACAGTGACAATAGTTCCACTTCCGATGCCATAAAGAATCCTACCAAACACCATCACAGGAAATGATACCAAAGAAGTGGATAATGCTACCAAAATGTTCCCTACAGCAATAAGTGATGTAGCTAAGATTGAACCAGTTGATGTTCCAAATTTGTCAATAAAGACACCACCAAGGATTGGTAGGATTGTATTAACTAGTGTCACAGAGGATTGTACTATTTCGTATTGAGTATTTGTGATGCCTAATTCCTAACATTATAAAAATAATACTAGTTGTAAAAATTAATCGGAAAAACGAACGATAAGAAAGGTGAATTACCTTTTTAACGGTCGCTTTCAAAGCTCCTAATGTATGTGCGGCATAGTGACTTCCAACTACATTAGACCAAAACATTAAAATAAAACAACCTTTGACTTATCTTCAAGCACCAGACGTTGAACATACATACTAGATAATGACAAGGTGCATATTAATGCAAGAATTTTATACTTCAATGGTCGTTTGAGTGATTCTTCTATAATATCAGGTTTGTCATCGTCTTTACTCAGTGCATTTATTTCATTGTTTTCAAGTTTATAAGTTTTATCAGCCAACTCTATTGACGAGTGAACAGACAGGGCAGTGCGTCTCTGTTCATTTGTAGAAACATCACGATCATTTTCTGATACATAAAATGGATTAGAAGACATTATTTTGCTTTTGATTAAGTGATGAAATACAAAAATGTTAAAAATCAAAAATTTAGGGCTCACTATTTAAAAAAAAAAAACTGATAAAAAAAAATCATCTGTTATCTTAAATTGGTTAAATTAGTACATAAACAAAAATTTATGATTTCCGACTAATCATATAAATTTGTATTATCCGATGTGTTAAAATCTGATAATTCAAAAAGGGTTATCAGATCCAGTTATCAGATTTCTTTTGTCACACGTACGTGAATACATTCGATTAAAGTAGGGAAAGTAAAGGAAGATTCCATTTTCGTGTAATGGATCGATATCAGATAAGGTCTCTCCTTTTTCTTGAATCGATATCAGATAAGGTCTCTCCCTTTTCTTATCAACATTACGGGTGACTTCGGGAATAATAAAATACTTAAGTACAAGGCAAAATAAAATTAGGATAGGATAATTGAAGTCTTGAGCTTATACTTTTTAAGGTCCTAAAATGCAATATTTATATCAATACAAATAAAATTAGCATACCTATAACATGATTTTGGTTTGGTGCGTAGTGATAGTCAGGCTATTAAATTAGTATGAAAGTGCATTTATTTAAGATCTGCTGGTATGAAAATAAATGCATAGAAGCTTATTCAAAATTATGTATTTAAGAAGGCCTAAAGACCTCAATAATGAAGAAGTATGCTCTTTGAATCCTTCTTACTGAAGGAGAATTCTCATAAATAGTCTATATTAATAAATTAAATTTACTATCTAAATTTATTTTCATGATTCTCTCTTGACTGATGCTAACACCGAAAAAGTGTACAAGATTGTTCTTCAAAAAATCATACGATAGTTCTGATGATCACTTTCAATTACTAATAATGAAGCAACTGTGTTGGAAATTATTTTCTAGAAAAAAGAATTTCTCTTAATTGGATAATTTTATGCGTGCCGTCGATTAACCAATTTAAAGCCTTCTTTTGTATTAATATTCACATGCAAACTCATGTTTGTCGTTAATGATTGGTCCTAGTTCGATATAATTTTTTGTTTTCAGAATTAATTAGTTGCACTATTTTTTTTTTTAATATTAGCAGCACAAGCAAAGGTATACAACGTAGAGTTCTTACCGAATCATATCCGGGTTATGACTCGGTTCAATAGTCATATAGGTTAAGCTCAATAATTATTAATTTTAAGACGTGGTATCTTGAGATATATGTTTAAGATATCATATTCAAACTGGAACATCTCGGCAACTCTGCTCATAATTCAAGCACATTCATTCTCCACATCGGAAAGAATCGGTTTCTTAAAATTTTCCCAGACCCGTTTGACCGTGTCAAGCAATTTTCGACCCGTTAGGCCAGACAGATTTAATTCGGTAGTTTACATCTTTCTCACAAAAGAGGGGGAGAGCTGGAAGGAGTTTATTATAATTTTTTTTTTCGAAATTTTCCGCACATATAGTGAGCGGGAAGGACAGAAGGGGGGTAACGTAAACCACCGAATTAAATTGGTCTGGCCTTACCGTTAAACTGCTGGTCAACCCAATCCGGGTAACAGATTTAATAAAAACATGAGTAGATAAAAGACGGAAAACAGACTTTTAGGCCGTTTGAAATATTCCTCATTTAATGTTATATCGTTGTTTGCAAAAAGTAGATTAGTGGTGGCGAATGGCTGTGTCGATCACGTGATGATCGACAAATAATTCTAAGCTATTGCTTTCATGCGACAAAAATCAATTAACATAGTAAAACTGCACCAAAATTGTTTACAAAACTTTGATCGAAGATATCTCAGCAACCAATTGACAAATTCGATAAAATTTTTTTATTTGAATTTTATATTTCTGTAGAATTCAAATAAAAAACAATTCATTGAATTTGATCAATTAGTTTCCGAAATATCTTTGATCAAAGTTTATGAAAAATTTTAAAACATAGGGTAAGCATTCCTAATTTGGTGCAGTTCCCAATTTGATGCAGTTACAATATTTTGCGTTCTGGTGATCAGATTCACATGTTTTGGTACCGTTCTACTCATCTCATTGAGACAAGTCAAATGGTACCAAAATCATGTGAATCTGATCAATGGAATGCAAGATATCGCTATTTAATTTATTTACATTAATTTTCTTTCTTGGATTGTCAAGCAAAAAGTAACCCCAATGCACTAAAATCAGCTTGTCATACCAAATAAGATGATATTAATACATTTGGCTAAGTTATTTCTATCAATAATCCTTGTACAGTATTAAAACTGTAACAATTTGGATCATTTTTTGTTTAACAAAGCATAATTATTTATAAGAAAGTATATTTAAACTGCACAAGTAAAATTTCATGATTTTAATAACTCGAAAAACCAATGCAAATTTGATTGATCATAAATATTTACAGATAAAACTAAGTTATGTAATGCCATATTGTAATCTCAAAACACCTTTAAATAAAATTAATAGAATAAAAAATTAAATCATAATAGAAGTGAAGAATAATAATTTATTAAAATCAAAAATTTAAAATTAAATTATGAACAAATACAGTGAATATAATACTAGATACAACACCATTAATAATGCCCTTAAGGCAATAAAAGACATTCAAAATAACTCTAAGTTTCCAGTATTAGAAGTATTGCATGAAACTATAATCTTTCAGAAGCAACCCTTAGACATGCCATTAAAAATAATAGTTCTTCACTTGCCCTAGTCATGTTAAAATTTTAACTCCTATAAAGATGAACAGCTTGTGAGACATGCAGAAGCTCAGTTTTGGGTTGACAAGTTCTGATGTAAACCAGTACATTATGGATATTATTCATTGGAATAGGCAGTCAAATCCTTTTAGCAATAATGGACCAGAACAAAAATGGTAAAAATGTTTTATGAAAGATCATTCAGACTTTCATTCTGTGTTCTGCAAGCCCTAAACAAAGCTCATACACAAAAAGCAAATCCTATTATTGTTAATAACCACTTTAACAAACTTAAAAAATCATCTATGAACATTCACTTACCATTAATTAAATTTAGAACTTGTTTTTTTTGTTTTTTATTTTAATTTTTTATTTTATTTTTTTTATGTTTATTTTTTTTAAGAATGAATAAGGTTTATAATTGAGTCTAGACTTCAAAAAGTTATACCAAAAAGGGGCACACCAAGTTCATCAGGTTTCAAATAGCAGCCTCTATAAGCATATCTCTATATGTTCAACCATATTAGCCACAGAATATATATTCTACTATTATTTGTTTTTAAGAAAAATGAATAATTCTAAGCCTTCTAAATAGCATTCCAGCTGGTTCTGTTATGAAATTTACTGAGACAGAAAACATGTGAGAAATCTGTTTCAAAAATATATTGAGTATTTCATTAGTTCTATCTGCTTACACATCTAGTATTGCTAATTTTAGACAGTCATAAAAGTCATATCAATTACACTAGTTTCAATTATTGTTATAAGTATGGAATCCTTCTTTATACTTTTTCTCTTCATACTACTCACATTTTACAACCAGTTGAATTACTATTTGCTACATTAAAGAAAGAATATGATAAAGAGTATAAAAATTTTAAAATAATTACAATAGTTAATGTATAATGAAATATATGTTTGCTAAAGTATTAGGGCTGTCTTATATTGCAATCTATATACTAATAACAATATGCAATGCCTTCAAAGCTACAGGAATTTGGCTATTTAACCCTATTGCAATTGATTCTGACTGTCTAGATTCTTAATTAGCAACAGAAGTACCTATATTTTGCAAATTCTTGAGTAGCAACCTTCTTCCCCTTTACCATTTTCCTCATTATTACAACTGTCTTCTTTATCTTCACAATCATCTTATTCATCATTACAATTGTTAACTTCATCTTTACAATCATTATCTTTATCTTTACCATTGTTGCCTTCATTGCAATCTCATCATCATCTTTATGAATGTCTTCTTTAAAGCTTGTTTAAAGTCTTACATGCTTTACTAAAGATAACTCTACAAAAAAAGAGCTTATATCAGAACTTAGATTACTAAATGAAAGGGTTAAACAACTAGAGAAAGATGATAAAACCTTCAAAAACTCTAGTAAAAACTATTGTGGTTGATACTTAAATATCTTTTATATCATAGCCACAAACTGAAAATCTAAAGATTGATAAGGAGCAAGCTAGCTCTCAACCTACAAAAAAAAAAAAAAAAAAACAATACCTTTCTCCCAGCTTCTGACAAATAAAAAGTCATTACAACAATTAAAAGAAGTGGAGAAGAAGGCAGAAAAAATAGCCAATGAGAAAAAACATAAAAAGGAAATAGCAATTCAAAAATTAAGGAAACATAAAAAAAAAAAGTACAAAAGCAGAAAGTGTGAAGCAAATAAAAAAATTGCAAAATGTATTAAAGGATAAAAATATAAAATTACTCTCTTTTATTGTAGTGTGTTAAATTAGAATAATCACTTAATAATCTTGATTTTGAAAAGCTTATATATTAGAATAAGAAAATTTTTTTGGTTTAAAAAAAATTTTTTTAAATAAAAATTAAAAATATATCGACTTTAGTAAAAATTTATATGTTTTTATACTGATTCTATAAAAACTAGCTATTAACAAAGTTAGCTGCATCAAATTAGAAATAATTACCTTATATTACATAAAAATTGTGCTCAATTAGTTATAAAATTTTAATTAAAGATATTTTAGCAATCAATCAATCAAATTTAATAAAATGTTTTTTTTTGAATTCTACAGAACTGTAAAATTTAAATAAATAAATTTCTAATAAATTTGTTTAATTGGTTGCTAAGATATCTTCAATCAAAGTTTAAGAAATTTTTTATTTAATTTTAAGATGATGGTTTGCTAATATTTTTATTAATAATTTTTAAAATAGTAACAATATAGACTGCTATAGTGTAGTTGCTAAGGTTTTTACTTATAATCAGAGTTAATCATTAATCTACTATATAAAGAAATTTACAAAAATACTACAATTTTTACAAGTATAAATAAAA